GTGAGTAAAACCCAGGGGCATCCGAACCCCATGTCTCTGGGCTTGGGCCTGCACGGAGGAAGCCCACCAAAGGATCTGGAAGTTCAGACAGTCCTCAACTTGAGATGTTTCGAGTTTAAGATGGCACTTACAGCATTTATAAATTGACACCCTGTTTCGACTTTCTGACATCCGTTTTGACTTTATGATGCTTGATCCAAAACGACGGCACACCGCACAGGTGAACAAGTTTGCTGCGTCACCCATCTCCCTGGAGAACATCTGTCCACACTTCCTTGGACACTTTCTTTAAGAAAGCAGACAAGACTCCAGAAAAACCTGTAGACAAGATGCCTGAGAAGACTCCAGCGAAGAGCCCTTCAAAAAGTCCAACCAAGAGTCCTTCAAAAAGTCCAGCAAAGTCACCACAAAGAAGTCCTTCCAAATCAACATGATTACTATTTACAATATAAATAGATTAATGTAGCTATATTACTCACCTATAATTGATTGAGTACAAAACTCTGGGTTATTTTTGGTGAAAATAGGGTATTGAGCCTTGGTTCAGGAACCAATCCCCCATTTATAACATTGTTCCTATGGGAAAATCGGTTTTGAGTTGTAGCAGTTCAACTTAAGACACTGTTTTCAGGAACCAATTGTGTCGTAAGTCTGATGACTGCCTGTATCTGAAGCCCCAAGTGGACATGGAGGATGGTTGCCAGTGGTAGGGCCACATGTGGTTTTTGAATGGCTCATGGATTTGGAATTGATTTGGCTGATTTGATTTGGGACAGGAAAAGTTTTCCTTAAAAAAAAATAAATCTCCATTCTCTCTGCTCTGCTTCAAGGGCTTTGCCCCACCAAAGCAAAAAGGCGCAGAGGGCAGATGTGGCTGCAACTCTCCACTCTGGGTTGCCTGCTGTTAGTCTGCAAGTGCCCCCCCCCTAGAGAAGGGTAAGCTGTGTCCCAGCACACAGCCCTCAGCCCGATTGCTTTTAACCCTCTCAGTTCACCTGGGTAGACTGCCCTGCCACAGGTTGGGATGAGAAGGAGAGGATCCCTTGGCGGGTGTCTCCTACGCTGTGAGCATGACATTTTCTTCTATGTTTTGTGTGCAAGACTTTTCCCTGATGCCACCTGCTCTCGTGATTCTTTTTTGGCAAGATGGATGATGGCAGGGCTGGATGCAGGCATGGGTGAATTGAGCATCCACCCAGGTCCTGGGCTGAAAAGGGGTCCAAAGTAGTAATTTTTAAATTTATTATCATCATCATTATCTCTGGTAAAAGGGGGCCCAATACTGAAAGATCTCCCAGGGCCACCAGGACTCTAGGTTCGGTGCTGGGTGATGTTAAGCATTGCAGGCAGGAGAATTGCAGGGATGAATTCAAATACCATAGGAAGGGGGCACAGCTCAAAAGCTGAAGTAGAGAAAAAAAGCAGAGTCTTTCACTGGCTTTCCCTAGGCACAAGCCTCTGGTTGAACAAAAGCCTCATTTCACAGGGAGACAATTAGTCCAGATCTGCAGCTCATGTAAATTAGCAAATTCTCTGCTCGCTTGACTTGACCTGGTTTCCTGTCCTGCAGTTGTGAAAACACTGGATTGTGTCTTCCCAACAATGCACAGACTTTTTAAGGGAAAAGAACCAGGCCGTGTACTCATTACACAAACAAGTGATGGGGAGCAGCGCGTCCGCGCCCAAGACACCTGCCCTGCTCTTGTTTTAGGTAACCTCTTCATATCTACAGCCGCTTGTCCTGATCATCACTTGCTGCATGTCATCAAGCCATCCAGAGTTCCTATTTCAAGAGATATCTTTTAAAGACCACTGTATCTCACTTCTACTATTACAGATCACCTTCCTTCTCCCTACAACAGGATAACCTGATCTCCTGCCCTGCACTTGGCATTGGACATGCCTTTCGGGTTAGCGTTGAATGTGCGCTCTCGCATGCTGCCGTGGCTTCTAATCATTTTGACCCACTGGTGTCTCTCTCAGTTCGTACTGGGGCTTCCTGGCTTTTGTGAAGGGCACTTTTATTTACTAACTAAGGGTAATAGTTTCAAGGGCTCCTGAGTAGTTTTAGAAGCCTTTGTCTCCTCAGGGCCTAGGAAGATGCTTCTGAAAAAAAGGAGTTGGGAAAAATTCACCTTCATCTTTATTAGAAGCCAACAGCTATTTGACAGATAAGGAAGTAGATGGAATGGAAATTTTTCACATTTAAAAAAAAAATTAAATAAAAAAGGGCCTTTTTGGGGGGAAAAAAACTCCTTTGGGGAAGGAATGATCTTTTATTTGTCTGTTAATACTTGTGCCCCTTTCCATTTTAATTGTGTTAAATATTGAAGTGGTTATCATGTTTTCCATTAACCATTGCAATAAGATTTTCGGTGATGGTTGAACAGACTGCCATTATGAAAATATTTCCTTACAAAGCAGGACATACCCCAGGTTTGGCAGACTGTAATGCTCTGTTAGGGTGCCCTTCATCCCAGGTGCCCGTCATCTCAGGTGCAATCCCATCTCTAGTCCTTTTGTAACTTCATGATTATGACAGTGTTTTGTTATCTGAAAACCTAAGTGGTTTTGATGCCAAAGCATCATAGAACTAAAATGTAAGCAGGGCTTGGCCTATTCAGTTGTTTCCCCTAGCTCATCAGCACTGGAGATCCCCTTATCAACAGGTGCCAATAGAGAGATTCCTATTTACTAGGGGCTTCAAGCCACAAAGCTTACAGATGAAGCCATGCAAATTCTGCTTCTGCTCAGGAAAGTTTCAGATGCATTTCCCCTAACCCTCCCCAAGAAAACTGATTCTGCCTAAAAGAAGAAAAAAAAAAAAGAGAGATTTGCAAGTTTTGGGAGAGGACTTGTCTCTTAAATTTAGTTAAACCACAGGGACTGCCCTTGGTTTCTTTTTCAAGGCTGTGACCACTTCATGGCTACTGCTGCAAGAAGTCTGGTGATAGAAACAGGAAGTTGCTCTCTCTAGGTAGAGATTCATAATGCAATTAGTTTATGTTTCTGTACCCTCCCCCCCCCCACTTTCTCTAGGAGAATTCTGTAGTGCTTTACAAAAATGAAATGGGCAGGAGATCAGGCTACAAGTGTATGAATTAAAGGAGGGATTTGGGCCTTTTGGTTTTGAGAGGCTTCAACAACTGGAATTAAAAAAGGGGACATCACAAATTTCTGAGTTGTGTCTACACTACTGTCTGGAGTCACAATGACAACTTGTGCACACTTACGCTTGCATTTAAATAGCTGCCCTGTCTTCAACAACAGCACACATCTAGTCACTGAGCATAGATCCTGTCCTGCCCCACCTAGCACTACCTGTGCTAGGTAGTTTACAGTCCTCTCCCGTCCATCTCCAGGAGTTATAATCATGTCTTTTGAACACCTCATTTGCTGTAAGCAGTGAAGGATGGGGAGGCAAATACACCAAGATATACAGACCAAAGGAGACCAGCTACGAAAGGATCCAACTTCAGTATTGACTGCCTAAAGCGTCTAGCTGGATATTCTTTATTACACCATGAGGCAACCCTCCATTAAGCATGCTGCATATGGAGACAAAGCACCCGATTCTTCTGCTTTCACAGGTTTTGAGCCATTGTATGAATAACTATTTCCTTCAGTGGCATTGCTCCTGAATTGTCCTAGCATAAGTCAAAGAATTAAGTTAATTATATCTTCAGTCAGATACATCAATAGATGTGGATTTCTTTCTTTTTTTGCAAGTATTCAGGAATCTGTCTCACACAGCAAAGAACATATTGCAATTCATCTTTTTCTGCTGGAACATTTTCTACCAATACTGACATTTTCACTTGTTAAGACAAACAAAGCAATATTCAAAGATTATAGAGTCAAAAGGAACAAGTTACAATCACCTGGTCCAGTCTCCAGTGTAACCAAGCCACAGAACCTTGCCTTAGATCAAGCTGGTAACATCAGAGTTACATCGATGTAGAAAGTCTTGGTTTTAGAAACTTCAAACAATAGTGGATTGACTACATCTCTAGCTAAGATAGTTTCAGTAGTTAGTCACTGTTAGAGAACTGTGTCAACGTGGCACATGGTGACCTGTGGCATCCCCCTGGGCTCCGTACTTGGTCCAGTACTCTTTAATATTTTTATAAACGATCTGTATTCAGGTATCAGAAGCAGACCAGCTAAATTTGCTGATGATACCAAATTATGGGAAGTGTCATACTAGAGGATAGGCAAACCTGGACAGGCTCGCAAGGTGGGCAGATCAAAACCTGATGGCATTCAACACGGAGAAAAGCAAGGTCCTCCACCTCGGGAGGCAGAAAAAATCCACATCATTCGTATAGGCTCAGCAGTGCTACACTCACTAGCACCATGACCAAAAGAGACTTGGGGGTCATGACTGATCCTAAAATGAACATGAGCCACCAGTGCAATGCCGCAGCTGGCAAAGCAAACAAAACGCTGTCTTGCATTAATGCATCTCAAGCAAGACCCAGGATATCATCCTCCTGCTTTACTTGGCCTTGGTGAGGCTGCAGCTGGAGTACTGCATCCAGTTCTGGGCTCCACCCTTTAGAAAGGATGTGGAGAAGCTTGAGAGAGTCCAGAGGCAAGCCACACACATAATTAAAGGACAAGAGAGCAGGCCTATGAGGAGAGGCTGAGAGGCATGGGACTCTTCAGCCCAGAGAAGTGAAGGCTCAGGGGGACTTGGTGGCAGCCTATAAGTATACACGGGGTGTGCATCAGGATCTGGGAGGAATGTCTGTTCACCAGGACACCCCAAGGGAAGACAAGGTGACTTCCTGCCCCTTGGGCAGGGGGCTGGATCCAGTGATCTCCCAAGGTCCCTTTCAGCCCTAATGTCTATGAAATCTATGAACTATTTGAATTAATCTAATTTCAATGGCCACACAGTGGAATTCTGTAGCACCAGCCAAGGACAATGCTACACCTAGAATCTGAAGCAGGCACTTTTCCCTCTGGGCTGATTCATTTTCAGTCACAAAACTCACCTATTTTTTCTGACCAAAGCAGATAACAGGAGCATAGAAGCCTTCCCTCTCACTTCTAGCAGGCTTACTACAAAACTTCCATGTACTTTCAATTGCTTTTCCCTTCCATCTACAACTCTCCCCACACTCCCCAATCTTGCTGGCTTTTATAATCACTTAACCAGTCTCAGCTGGGAGATGCTGCTGGACTGCTTGTGAAGCTGGGCCCAGCATCCCGCAAAGGGCCAGCCACCTTGGGCAACCTCATTAGGCTTTCTCTGCTAGATTAGAGAGCTGTATCTATTATCAGCAATTTTCTCCCCATTTTAAATCCTTATGAGCTGAAATCAATTCACCTCTTCTTGGATAAGGTTAGATAGGGAGAGTTCCTCAGTCAGTCACTATAAGGCATATTTGCCAGGCTCTTGTTAGCAGCTCTTTTCTGATGCTCACTAAAATTACATGAGTTGCTTCATGACCTGGACAGACACAGCTTTTTAATCCATTTCTAAAATTACCAGCAAATTCTCCAATCACTTATTTAGCATCCTCCCCTTGTTTCTAACCTCACTTTTACCAGGTTGATAAATAAGATGATTTTAGAACAAATAGGGTTCTCAACCTGTCTAAAGTGAACACATGGTTTCTATTTGCATAGCATCTGAGTGCTTCATCATCTTTAATATATTTTTCTCCACAACACTGTGGGGTCATGTAGTACTTTATTCTCATTTTACAGTTTGGGAAGCAAGACGGAGTGAAATCCAGGTGCCTCAATACTGCTAGTTAGAGCTGTGCAAAATTTCTCCACCAGTTTTGTTTGGACTCTGTTTTGACCTCTTTCGAGGTTGAAACAGCAAAATTGAAATGAAACAGATATGATTAAAACAGCCTCGAAACAAAACGAGGCAAGTTGAAACGTTTCTCCGTTTCAACACTGTTTTGCTGTTTCCCCCATTGGCTATAATGGGAAAGGTCAAAACAGCCTATAACTTTGTCATTTCTGGCCAGATTTAGATGAAACTTGCAGAAATGGTAGAATCTTCTGAGGGTATAAAACTTGCCAAGTTTCACAAAGATAGATGCAGGGAGTTTGGAGACATTGCACCCCAAAGTCTTGAGAGCCAAACTTGTGTCATGTGTATGTTTTAACCCACATCAGGGTCAAAACTATGGGAATGGTAGCCCTTGCTGAGGCCACAAAGCCTGCCACATTTCAAGGAGATAGATGCAGGGGGTTTGGAGAAACTGCACCCCAAAATCCTGAACGCAAAACTCATGTCACATGTACGTGTTAAGCCACAGCAGGGTCAAAACTTCAGGCATGGTAGCCCCTGCAGAGGCCACAAAGTCTGCCAAGTTTCAAGGAGATAAGTGCAGGGGTTTGGTGGAAACTGCACCTCAAGCTATGGACAAGCAAAACTCGTGCCATGGATGACACTGCATGTGTTAAGGAGCAGCAGGGTGAAAGCTGCAGGGATGGTAGCCCCTGCTGCGGCCACGAAGCCTGCCAGCTGTCAAGGATTTAGGTGGAGGGGGTTCTGGGTTCTGGGGCCCTGCACCTCTAGCTGCTGACAGGCAAAACTCATGTCATGGGTGACACTGTGTGTGTTAAGACTCAGTGGGGTGAAAGCAAAACGCCTGCTAGCCCCTGTTGAGGCCACAAAGCCTGCCAGCTGTCAAGGATTTAGGTGGAGGGGGTTCTGGGTTCTGGGGCCCTGCACCCCTAGCTGCTGACAGATAAAACTCGTGACATGGGTGCTTGCGCAACTGACTATATCTGTCTTGGGGCAGTTGATTGTCTGTATTGATTATTTCCTCTCCATAGTCTGTGGTTTTGTAAGTGTTGATCCATGCTCGTTAAATCGTTCTGTAGTAGCTAGCTGTGTATTGAGCTGATCCCGGAGTGAATCATGATTAATTGGTACCTGGTAACACGGTAGCTTAGCAGCCAGGCCTACAGTAGTCCCCCCACCCCACGCCCCCCCGGTGCCCCAAGACAGACACAGTTGCACAAGCACCCATGACACGAGTTTTGCTTGTCCACAGCCTGAGCTGCAGTTCCCCCCAAACCCCTGCAATTATCTCCTTGAAACTTGGCAGGCTTTGTGGCCTCACCAGGGGCCACCACCCCTGCAGTTTTCACTCTGCTGTGCCTTAACGCACACAGGGTCATCTATGTCTTGAGTTTTGCCTGTCAGCAGCTTGAGGTACAGTTCCCCCCAAGCCCTTGAACCTATCACCTTGAAACTTGGCAGGCTTTGTGGCCTTACTAGGGGCTACTACTCCTGCCATTTTGACCCCGCCGTGGCTTAACATGTGACATGAGGTTTGCTTTCAGGAATTTGGGGTGCAATTTCCCCTGAACTCCTGCACCAATCTTCATGAAACTTGGCATGCTTTGTGGCCTCAGGAGGGGCTAGCAAGCCTGCAGTTTTGACCCCACTGTGTCCTTACACTTACTCGTGACACAAGTTTTGCTTTCAGGATTTTGGGGTACAGTTTCTGAGAACCCCCTGTACCTATCACCTTGAAAAGTGACATGCTTCATTGCCTCCACAGGGGCTAGCATGCCTGCAGTTTTGACCCCACTGTGGCTTAACACGTACACGTGACATGAGTTTTGCTTTCAAGATTTTGGGGTGCAGTTTCTCTGAACCCCCTATACCTATCTTCTTGAAACTTGATACACATCATGCTCTTACAGGGTGCTATGATTTCTGCAAGGTTCATCTAAATCTAGCCAGAAATGACAAAATTATAGCCTGTTTTGACCTTCCCCATTATATCCTATGGGCGAAACGGCGAAACAGGGTCTAAACGGCAAAACGTTTCACCGGAACGAAATGGAACAGCCGTTTCAACTCAAAACACAAGTCAAAATGAAACACACTGTTCTGTCAAAATGTCGAAATGCTGGTCGAAATGAAACACTTCTGTTTCGCACAGCCCTACTGTTAAAGATCTGGATCTAGCTCTAGAGACAGAAGTTACGCATAAATGGATCTAATGCAAATTATATAATGATCAGAAACTAGTTTAAAACTGTAGCAGAGAAGTTCAGTGCACATCAACCAATTTAAAAATGACTGAAACTGGTTTAAAATAAACCTGGCTGAATATAGTATCCAGATTTAACTGATTGAGGTCAAACTAATTTATCAAACTTCTGTCCCAGACCCCTTCCTGGTTCTAGTTAAATCAGAGTCCTGCAGCATTTTGCAGCCCAGGCTGGGCTGCCTGCTTTAGAGAGCAGGGCTGACCCCACTTCTCTGCTCCCTAACTGGAGCAGTGTGGGCTGGCTCTCTGGCCCCGACCAGGCAAACCCCAACTGGGGCCTGAGGCCAGGGAGAGGGGTTAAATTTCCCTTCCCCCAAGTACAGAGCTGCCCTGCCCTGCCCTGCCCTGTTAAATTTACTGCTGGCTGTGACTGGACTACAAACCCCAGAGGCACCTGGAAGCAGGTAGAGGAAGTGATGAGCAATCCTGCAGAGTCCTGCTGATATGATTCTGGACTGCAAATCCCAGAGACCTTGGGGGCAGCAGGAAGAGGAAGCAAACACACAGCCTATGCTGGCTACGTGCTAGACAGCCAGGCTTTAGTGCCTTCCCATGCCCCGGCTTCTGGCCTGAGCCACTGCAGGCATGCAGCTGCATTTCCTGAATCAAAAGTGAATGTCTGTTCATTTGCTTATTGGTTCAATCTTTACAGCTTAGACTAATCTGCAAAGACTGAATCAATTCAGCCGTGGGCTTGTTGACTGTCTGTACTGAGCCCTAGTGACTATTCCAGGGGTATACAAACATTAGGAAACAGAAAACAAGTGCCAGGCTGGTACTGTAACCACTGGACAAAACTTCCTCTCAGGCTAGACACCTTTCTCTGAGTTCTCTACACAATGAGCAATCACAGTTTGTGACATTTTTGTAAAAGAGTTTCCAAAATATTCCTTACAGTGATTGAATTAATGGGTATTTAAAACATATTACAGATTTTTTAGGTAATCTGCTAATGCCAAAAATGTTTCTATAATCTATAAATTACATTTCATATAAAGCTTCAGGAATCTAATCCAACTGTGATTTTTTTCTCCTTCAGCTAAATTGTTTGACAGAGCATCACAATTTATTGAATAAGACAGAAAATAGTGCAAATCCTCCTAAAACATGGTCTCTCACTCTTTCTGTCTCTTCTTCATGAGACCCTTTGTAAAGACCTCTTGGGTCATGGATCTGTATATAGGACAGTGTCTTCCATGCTGGTCCTGAGAATGTGAGCAAATTTATACCTTTCACATCCTAGAAAACTCAAGCCAGTTTTCCTTGACCACTGATAATGGACCTTAGTGGTAAAGAGCTTTTCTTAATCAAACCAGGGACTGATTTTTCTTTGGTGTAAAAGTGGAGCTGAGTCTTATGCAGTTGTGGATGCAGTGAATTGCTTTGTGTTGCTCTATTCCCAAATTCCCTGATTGTGTGTCTAACCCCATGGGTGGGTTAGGAGTGCATCATGAAATAGAGAACAAGCTATGACAGAGAGCAGAGTCTAGCAGAAAGGAGCAGCATTAAGAGCTAGGAGCAGGGTGAATAGCATTCTAGCCACAAATCTAGAAGTATTAGTACCAGTGCATGGACAAACTATTTAGAGTAACTAATCTAAGGGGTTCATTCTGCCCCCAACATGTGCACGCCAATCCTGATACAGAGAATGGCGTGTCTAAGTAAGCATCCGGGAGAGTATAAGCTTTAGACGTTTTGCCCATCTTTTTCCTGGGTAAACATGTTTCTTTTTTTTAAAGGTGAAGTAAAAATATCTTCACCCACTGAGACCCAAAGAGGTTAAAGGGAAGGAATGAGGTGAATGGGAGGTGGAGAACTGGAAAAGGAAGGGTTGCTTTAAAAGATTCAAACAGGCATCCAAGCTTTCCAGGATTTCTGCAGTATGCCAAGCTAGAAAAGCATCAGAGCTTGCCAAAGCACACAGCACAGTAAATACCGTGCACGTTTCTCATTCATTCTGTTTCCAGACAGTAACTCAGTGAGCCTCACAACCACTAAGTGGGGAAATGGAGGAAGTCAAAGATGGAGTGACTTGCCCATTGTCACACACTGACTGAGCAGGTAAGGAA